GACAGCCACCAGACGAACTGTGATGCCAAGAGCACGAGTCCCCAGCTTGCCCCGAACAGCCGCTGCGAAGCACGTCGATGAAGCAGGAGTCGCGTGGTGCTTCGCTCTGGATGAGCCTTGCAGCTTTTGAGCCTTTTTATTGTGAAATCTTTCCTGATGCTTCTTTTTTTTTTTATAATCCGAGCCTGTACCACCTGTCTTGCAGCTGATCAAGAAGCAACTGGTGAATGCCATCAAGGCATTGCAGAAGCAGTACGTGACCTCGGATGCCGTCGTGACCAGCGACGATGGGAACGCGAACACGCTCTGCAGCGCCCTGGAGGCTGTCTTTGTGCACGGGCTGAAGGCGAAGCATATAAAGGCAGAGAGTGGGGGGAAAGGCAAGAAAGCAGGGGGTCGGGGACCACTTCCCCAGCCGGTCTTCTGGGGCCTGCTGAAGAGCATCACCCATCGGTGAGTGCCCGTCCCTGCCGAAAGGCGTTTGCCCGCTCAGGTTTATCCCCTCTCTTCGGTGCAAAAGCCACAAAATTCAGGGAATGGCAAACAGGAGGATGGCTCAATGGGAAGATACATCTCTACGTCGTCCCGTGTGCTCAGTCCCTTCAGTCGGGGGGAGAGGTGCTCTCGCAGGGTGTCTCAGGGGGCTGGGGCTGCCCAGGACCACTGGGAGATGCACGTGGGGAGCAAAATCCCTACGTGCAAGGGGTGAAGTGCCACTTAGGCATGAGCTGGTGTCCCCAAACACGGAGGAATCAAGCGCTGCTGCCATCTTAGGGCACGCTTCTTGTTTATTTTTGGGTGCCAGGCTGCCTATGGGGACTCCAGGTCCCCCGTGGGACCCCGGTGACCACACTGGTGTACGGCAGTGGTGGGTTATGGGGTGCGCGGCGCCGGGCTCTGGTCTCTCTTCTGACTTGGATCTGCTGGGGAGGGTTGGCCTCCGCTTCCCCATGTCCCAGCCAGCCTTTGAGGAGGGCTCGCCTGGGTAACTATCGTTATGTGCTGGGGTTTTTCTGAGCCACTCCCTAAGCAGAGTCCTCCCACATTAAATAACAGCCCACACACAAATAGTTTTGCAAGCCTCATCCAGCTCCATCACTGACTCTTAAATTATGAAAGAGTGGGTGAAAATAACTCTTTCACATGCTACGGGGGATATTTTTGTGCCCTTTGAAGGTTTTTTTTCCTGCTTTCTTGAGAGACAGATTTTAAAAAAAACCAAACCTTACCAAATTTTTGCTCTTTTTGTAGCTTCTGCAGTGCCGACAGGAGCTGAGGCCAGGGAGGATTAGGAAGCGTGGTGTCGCTGTTGGATTTTAGGGGAGAACGGTTGAAGTCAGGAGGCTGAGATTGCTCGAGGAGCTCAACCTGACCCAGTCGTCTTTTTTTTGGGCTGCCACAGCAGTATTCGCTGTATTTTGGCTGATTTTAAAGCTGAAGCTAGGATTTAGACAGGTGATTGTCCCCACGGAGTATCTAGCCAGAGCAAGCCCCACCAACCTGCAGGGACAGTGGGAATTTCCCCCTCTGCATCCTTGGTCCGGGGCGATGTCTCCAGGCAGAGAGAGGAGAAGCACCCAGAGGCACCTCAAGGGTGCCTGGGGTCATTACCAGTATATTTAGCTTTGGGCCATTCAGGAGCTCTTTTTTCCTCCATGGGAAACCACAGTTTCCATGAAGGAAAGAGATTTTCCCCAGCCCTTTGTTTGTCCCAGCTCCTAGACTCCCCGTAGCAGAGCAGGTTGGGCAGTTCCTGATGGAGGATCTGCCCCTCCTGCACCCGGTGATGGACCGAAACCAGAGCCACTGACGTCCTTTTCTGTTCTTTTCCTCCCTTTGCCCAGAAATGTTGTCTCAGAGCTGGAACAGCTCATCTTTATCAATACTAATCCAGCCGTCGGCCGCTGCCGAGCCTGGCTGAGGCTGGCTTTGAACGATGGCCTCGTGGAGTGTTACTTGAAGCTGCTGCTGCGGGAGAGGTCCCGGCTGCCCGAGTACTACCAGACATCTGCTCTGCTCTTAGATGCCGAAGAGTGCGAGTTTCTCCTTAGCTACTTGCAGGGCTTATCGTCCTTAACCTTCGAGCTCTCCTATAAATCAGCAGTTTTGAACGAGTGGACTATCACCCCTCTGTCCCTGTCGGGTCTGTGTCCTGTTTCGGAGCTGCTGGAGCCCCTCGCGTCCTCGACATCCGAACCCCGCAGGAAAGCGTCGCTGGGTTCGATCTCCCAGTCGTCGGGATCGGATGAGATCGAGATTCAACCCTCCGTCCTCCCCATCGGCAAAGCCAGCAGCAAAATCAAGCTCACGTTGTCCTCGTTGAGCCTCAACACCACGAGCTCGTCCCAGCTCTCCTCCAGCCTGGGCTCCGACAGCGTCCTCCCGGCTCACTGCGCCCGCAGCCCTGAGCGGAGCGAGGAGCCGCTCTCCTGTGACTCCGACCTGGGGACGGCCACCGCTGAGGACCTGGATAGGTCGCTGCAAGAGTGAGTCTTTTTGCAGTTCTCCTCTTCGAAGGGATTTTAAACCCTCTCCTGGGCTGTCATTTATTTTCTCTCTGTAGGCAGGGGGGGGCTTTCTCCCCTGTTTTTCTTTAACAAGCTATGTTTGTCCTCCTGGAAAGAGCCTGAAAGGTAAAAAGAAAATGCTCGGCACGGCTTGCTGGGACCCTGCTGCCACCACAAATGAGCCTCTGCCCACTGAAGTGGCGTGTCTGTCCTCTTTACCGCAGCAGAAACGTCAGAAAAATGCTGCTCCACGCTTTCAGGAATGTCACAGCTGCCTGGCATACGCTGGGGGAAGCTCCGGGGCTTTCTGCAGGGGGAAAGAAATGCGTTGGGTCGCAGGAAAGGGTTATAATTTGCAGCTTGGGCAGATAATTTAGAGGAGGGAGGTTGTTAGTTTGTCATCCTCATGATTTATTTCTGCCAGACACCCAGCACAAAGCTTTCCAGTGGGTTATATAAGCTGTGAGTAAGCAGTAAATATTTTTCCTGCCACCTTTAAAACCTGGCTCTGAAGGAGCCTGGTCTCGGGGTGCTGGTTGGCGAACACACCCTCTTCCCCATAAGGGTCTTCAAGAGTCTGTTCTTCCCCCGTTGGTATTGGCATCGTTGCCTACTTCTGGGGTGTTGCATCTTACAGTGATCCTGAAAGAACTTGCCTTTGATTGGATTAAACTCGTGGTGGAAAGACGTCGTTTTGAATTTTAATCTTGGGCTGGTTTGATTCGACCTAGCGGGTGGCAAAGCAGGAGCATGGGAACAGCGTCTCGTCTGGGCTCCGCTAATAATGGCTCGTTAACGGTTAGGAAAACATTTGAAATTTGGCACCCAGTCCCTGGCTGGATACAGGTCCGGGAGCTGGACGTGGGGCTGGGGCTGTGGGGAGCACCCAGCGCTCTCCCTCCACTCGGGGTTGTCCCTCGGAAGCCAATTAAAGCCCATTAACGTGCGTAGCTGGGAGATGCCTCCTTTGCAGGCGGGGTTCTCGGCTGCTGCTCCGGAGGGCACAAATCACACGTTTTCCTGTGGGCACGATCGGTGCCCGGGGGGGTTTTGCAGCCGTGCAGCGCTGCCAGCCCACAGGGGACCGGCAGTGGTGCCGAGCCCTTTTTTTGGGGGGGGCGGTTATAATTGGCAATAACTGGTTTTTCGTTGGTTCTGATTAACCCAGCTATGTTCAAAGTGCTCGCTTTTCTCTTTCAAGGGTGTTGTCCGAGTTCAGCAAAGCCAAGCCAAGCCTGGAAGCCCCGGAGGGACAGCTGGTCCCCAGCGAGCCGGGCCGCTCCCC